TATCAACATGTAGAAGTAAGAGGAGAAACACTGGTGCATACATAAAATGACCTGGATGACTGAGGACCTACACAGGCTAACATGTTTTTCACCATAGCCTGCAACATCCACAGCTGTGTCTATGACAGAAGATGGTGCAGTAGTTACTGACATTTACTGTATGCTAACAACCATGACTATAGAGATATAAGTTACAACAAAAACTAGAAAACCAAACACGTTTGGCTAGGAGTTTTGTAGCATCTATATATTTGTACAGTAATGTCATTGCTCAGAGCAGCAGTGTTTTCACTTGTGGTAACTTTTTTTCCCACAATATTTATCATCCATCATCAGTAATAAATGTATGATAACACATTACTTCACGTTTCTCCACCACGGTCTGCCTCCAAAATGCAATACTGATATGCAAACCTGTCTTTTAAGTGACGTGACAGCTCATCACAGCTGACGACAGCCGTGACAATAAATGTCTCATGTCATGTCAAGTCAAAACCAATATTCAAAGACAGAACTCTATTACATGTTGTGATATTCAGGCAACAGTTGTTGAGTCTCCAGCCTTGACAACACGCACCGCCATCTGTCCTCAACGACACGTGCTACGAGAATAAACAGATCATTCGTACAGCAGAAAAAAAGGTGTAAACACTTGCTGTGGGGCGTCTCCCCGCCACAGCCGAGTGCCTCGCGCTGCAACCCGAACCCGAGTGATGTCGAAAGGTGAAATCTCCACACATCAATTTCGTCTTGACCAGCTCAGTGCAGCAGAGCTTATTACTGACTTCCAATCTGTCTCCAGTGTTCAGCCTGTGTCAGTAATGCTGGGCTCCCCGGACCACGAAACGCTTCATTAAAAAGCCTGGCCGTCCACAGCACATTCGTGGCAGCCAAATAGAGTGTCAGAGCACATTTTTCATCTGCAGATTAAACCTATGTAAGACTGAATTAAACTAAATTAGATCTGAAAATGAGAAATAAACCAAGGCCAGACGAGGAGAGGGGAGGGGAGGAGAGTAGGGGTGTGGACCCTGTGACCAGGAGGAAACCACTCCCTCTGCCACGCTGAACTGTTTGTGTTGTTTCTTCTTTTATTTCTCTGCAACCTCTCACATACGTTTGGCACCGGAGCTCCTCCAGCCTTTATTTACAGATACTAAAACATTCTCTGTTTTTATTAGGACAGAGGACGCTGAGAGGCGAAGGCTTGACCTTCCTTATTCTTTCATCCCTCATTGTGATCTGAAGGATCATTCTCAGGCTTCCAGTCTTTCAAGATTAAAGCGTCTGCTCTCCCTGACCACAGAAAGGCTGTTTATTTCTCTACAGTGAAAGTGCAGTAGCTTCTTAGAGTAAATTTTACACTGGCTCTGTGTCTGCACTGGCCAGCGCATCAGGGATACAGAATTCTGCACTGAGAGATAAAGTCGGCGCTAATCAATCACTCTGCCCCCCCCAGCCCACCTCCACCCTCACCCCTGACTACCTCCTCTCTTTCTTTCCCTTTCAGACAAACACACACACAACACTCTGCTCTGATAAACACATCTTAATCAGTGCACAATTACAACTCAATTGCCATTTGTGAAACTACAGCCTGTTGAATTCCCATGTATCACCAATGGATGGAAGTCACATACAGTGGATACTAACGCAGACAATGTTATCTTGTCATTTCAGGGAAGGGGTTGTTTTTTTTTTTATGCCCTGCGTGCTCCCACCCACCACTGGGTAAGATCCACAGGCAGCACATTACAGAGGGAAATTTATCCACAGTAGCACAGTATCATCCCCACAGCACAGCAGCCCTTATCGTGGCCCTGACATGAAATACCTCTGAGGACAAAGAAAGAAATCGAGTCTTTTTGTTCAATGCATGACAAACAGGGACTCTGACTTTTCCTTTTCTTTCTACATATCTTTGGAAAACCGTGAGCAATTTGTGCAAGGAGCTTCTGTGAAAATGCCCGCGTTTTGACAGCCCTCCAAAAGTATTCGTCTTCATGACGGCCTCAAATCAGGGCAAGAATTTGGTGAGACCAGGATTTGTAGTAAACAGTTGTCAGTTGACAAATTCGTTACGTATCGACACGGCCTGAGACTGAAATATGTCAGCTGTAAATCATGTTGACACAGGGTGTGTCAATTGAGCAAATGCACAGTGATAAATTGGATTTCTAAACATATTAAACGAGGCAGCAGGCATCCATCTTCACATTTAACATGGAGCACAATCTGAGAGAAGGAGCATCACGCTGTTACTCCAGGCTTTATGAAATTATAGGAGACAATTGCAAATATTCTGCCCAAATTCTTTATTTCTGTCTGTTGGCTATGATATGATGTAAGAAAAAAAAAAATAGTTTCTACATTATAGATTTTAATATTTCAAACGTTGCTTGCACTAAGCAGCAAGAAATTGACCCCCCAAAATCAAACCATTGCCCAGGGTGTTATTTTGTGGATTAAATGGGGGATTGAATGTTTTGAGGGTAATACTGCTGTGATTCTGTGAAGCTTTTAACCTAGTTACTGATGATTCTCTTTATAGATGTTTGTTACTCTGAGTCGTATTTAACACGTGATCTAACCACAGCAGAGATACTTTACATTCAACACATCACACCATTGTCTCTGATTTGCAAGTGTGCAGCCTGTGTGCTAAATAGTTGCCTTGGATTTGAAAATAACCACAAAAGTCAGCTGTCTGAATTGGTTTGTTGTTAACAGTCAGCGTCAAGCTACACGAGCGCCACTGCAAACTGAAGCACTAACACATTCACAAAACACGAGGATACAGCAATCAGCCGACACTGAACAAGCATGGCAAACATCGCACATCAATGGCCAAGTCACTCAGCAGCTCTGTATCCTTTGACTGCTCGCCGTCCATGTCCCCTACACCAGCTGAAAGGTGATGGATTTAAAGACATCTCAATCTACGGTGACATGTATGAACAGTGTCACAGTAAACAGAAGTGGCCCTTTAAAGTCCTTGGCTCTAAATGACAAACACACGCTGATGTTCCAGACAACTGGACAGAATTAGGTTTAATGAACCGTCGATGGAAATAAATCAAGCTGATGGATATTGTTTTAATGTGTTTTACATAAGAAGATGAGTCGTACATTAAAGCTGGTGAATGTTTAATGTTGCCCCTGATCAGTGTGCAAATGGTTTATGTAGGTAAATTATGAATGACGGTTATAAAACTTGCAAAAGCTTTAAAGGAGGATTCCTGAAATCTCTGTACTAGACTAGAGACGGCATTCCCTGATGTCTGAAGCAAAAGTTTCCTTTTAGATCACTAGTTTCTTTTTCTCTACCCACCATATTGCAATTTGCCTCATTGTTTATAAATACTCTTGTAACTATTTTTCTTTTTTATTGAACAGCAGGGCGGTCGGGGAATGTTGCATAGTTGCTTATATTTTTTTAAGCAGTGTTTCTTTTTTGATTTTTCTCCAGCTGTTGTTGAAATGTGCACAGTTGCAAATATATATATATATGGATCAAATATTGTTTTCTATTCCTTTCTAGTGGTTTTCACTGAAATGTGAACAGTTGTAAATATTTTCTTGTAAATACTAGTTTACTGCCTGCAGTATATTTCCACTATTTACTACTCTGCAGGCCTGTAATTGCCACCTAGAAAAATGTGTTAATCAAAATTAAATTAAGTCATCGATTAGCTTGGACTTTACAGGATTGTGAAACGGGGGAGATTAAGGCTGAATATTAAGAATCACATTATAAGGCAGTTCATGTTTCATTGCATTTGCAGTTATATTTTGATATAAGTAAAAAAAACCAAAACAAACAAAAAAAAAAAAAAACAACACTGTGCAATGACTAAACTTGCTGTCTTTCCTCTTTCCAGGCAACAGTGCTACAACTTTACTATGAAGTCTGCAGCGACCTTACACACACATCGATGCATAAGGATTTATTCAACTGAGAATACACAAATCAATACATCTGAAAACACTGAATTTGTAATATTTTAATCTCTGGGTTTCCCTGAGGTCATTCCGACAACAAACTAAATGTTTTATCCTTTTTTGAGTTTATGTAAATGAGGTAATTCATGTCCAAAATGTTAAAAGGATTTTATGTAGTTTGGGTGTAGACTGTATCCACTGAAAACCTAAAAAAGGGAGCGATTGCATCAATAAATAAAACTGTGCCAAACTATGTGTACTGTGACGACCCCTAATGAAGAAAAACTCTTAACGTAATTTGTCCTCTTCTCCTATAAAAGTGATTTGAAGGATATATGGGGATAAATGTTAAAGATGTGTCTCTAAATCTACCAGCTTAGAGTGGTACAGTAGGCCAACTGTAGCAAAGATATGTACGACAGCGTGCTGCTCAATCGAAGCAAAAAAACCTTTTGAATGAAAATCTCCATTTAACCTCGCCACAGAGGTGAAGGAAATTCAGAAGATATTTTTCTGATTTTACATGGTGATAGACTTCCATTTTATCTACTTGTTACTTAGGTTTTATGTTTGTTGAGAAACTAGACACATATACCACTAACAGATTAGCAAGAATGGCTTGAAGTGTTTGGGCCACATATGGTTTAAAGCTTTCAATTATGCTTTCAGGAAACATAATTACAGTGTGTTTCAAACCAAAACAATTTCCTGTTATTCCATTTGATATGTTTTTGTTCTTTTTTGAGTTTAATAAGTCTCCCATGCACCAAACAATTAAACAGCCAACAGAGCATTTGAGGCCTGATTAGTCTCAGACTGGCTTTTAATTTGATATGCATGCAGAGCAGAAAGTAAATGCTTGATCAAGCGAAGCAGGTGGATACGATGTCACTCTTATACAGCTGTGCATGGGAATTAGTGTTTCTGTGTTTCTGCTGTGGTTCAATAATCTCCACTCACAGCCAATAAACAGATTTAGGAAATTGGCACAGCCTGCAGAGTTGGCTTTAGACCGACAGCACAAACAAAAAAACATGCGGGTCACAGAAATGTCCTACCGAATCTGGGTTCTCTTCAATCCATCTTTTTACTGTTTTGAGAGCGATGTCAGCTGCTGGCTCATTTGGGAAACCTGCAATGGAAGAGAAAAGAGAGAGACAGAATGAGAGTAAACAACAGTTGTAAACATTGTGTTAATGCATAGGATAAACAATGAAACAGACAGTCGGAGAAACTGACAACACCATAGATAACAACGTGTTACCTTAATCAACGGGAATCAAAACAGGTTGCCTGTCTGTGCTAGATGAAAGCAGCTGTCTGATAAAGTGCTGTTGTCATGTGCAGCCAGATGTGTAGTGAAAACACATACAGACAAGTTTTAAAGAGAAAAAGTGTGTGGGTGTTAAGAAGTGCTGTATAAAGGGTGTTTGGTTTTGTGCCTACATCACTTAGCAACTCATGTTTGCAGACGATATGGTAATTTTCTCACCTCTTGGTGTTAGTCTTACAACATGAATGTGAGATAAAACACTGGAAAGATGTTGAATTCTATAAATATTCATATTGTTAATATTGAATTTCAACATTTGGTTGACAGTGTTGTCAAAATGTATAAATAGAAAAAAACACACAACTAAAGACGACAAAGATATTCATAGAAAATGTTGTTAGTTACGTTGCAGCATGAATGTTAACATTGTCTACAATGAATGTAAGGCATTTTCTATTTCCACACTTCCACTGTGTAAAGATGTCACTGTAAGTTCTGTGTAGGTCTAGCTTCCATGAGATATGTCCTTTTTTTTACTGTTCATTTCTACTTCACTCTATTGTTAGATAATTGAATTTATAGATGTATATGTCAGATCCAAAACAATATTTCGAATTTACTCGTCCTGACATGAGCACATTTTTGCTTTTTTTAAATTTCCAAATCTACATTTAGTCCCTACAGGATCACCTTTAGAGCCACTTAGAGTCTTCTGGGTATTTTATAGAAGGTGACATCATGGAATTTGATCAGTCAGATGTGGCTGGGGGCTTGTCAGTTTTACCTATGATATTTGTTCAGTCTGACTTATTCATTTTGGTACCTTTGTCTAAGAAACAAAATGAGAATATGAATGAAAATAAATATTAACTGCAGTGAGCCTCACTTGACTAAGACCTAATATTGCTAATGACCCAATCAGTCTCAGCAACTTTGACAGATTAGGTTCTCTACTACTGTTTTAACACAACGTATTGATTAGGAAATGCACAGAATACGACTTGGTTAAATTTTAATAAGGGGAGTTCAAGATTGCTGGATGCTGATGCTGAGATCCTTTGCAGCCACAGTAGAGAAATCTCACAAGAACCAACACTTAGGCTGAGCTATTGACTCCAGAAGCCCTTAGGCTAGCTTTACTACAGTTGAAGAGTATATATGCCATTATCAGAAGTGCTGACAAGCTGCTACTCTGTCACAGCCGAGTGTTTTAGTTGTCTTCATCTCAAATTAATTATAGTTGAGGCCATTATCTTGTGCCTTACAGGAAACCTGATCACATTATTTAGGTGTAAAGCCTCCAAAGTCATGAACTGACACTAACCCCATATAAACAGAAGTCAACACACACATGCAGCCACTTTTCTTTTTTTTTAGTCATGACCAACTTGATTCACACTTCCAAACTAGCTGATCATCTCTATCATAAACCCTGACCTCCATAAGAAACTACAAGTCACAGCAAACACTGTCTTCTTCTCAACCACAGAGGTCAGGACCTCAATTTCAGACAACATTAACTGGTACAAGAGCTGTGGCACCGTCGTAAGCTGTTGGTTATTGTACTCCTAAATATTTTCCTTTCCTCGTGTTATTGCCATAACCATAACATTCTACGACCTATGAAACAGACTTACAACTAGCAAAATGACCTATGCCCTTTGAGATAGCTGTTGGGCAAAATAATAATAGTTTTAAAAAAGAAGCTCTTAAATAGTTTTACTTCAAACCAGCTGTGAAAAGCGTCTCAGTAAGGTTGGAGTTAATATGTACTGCATACTACCTCATCTCCAGCTCTAACTCTCCTCTGAAAAAGGGAACTCTTCAAGCTGCAAACCACATGGTCGTGACAGCCGGTTTGCTTCTCTGAGACTCTTTCCAGAGACTGGGTAGAGCCACTTCACGGGTCTCACAACCTTATCCAGTGCAAAATCAGTTTGCAGGTCACCTGACTCTCCTTAGTGAAATCACTTTTTTGTCTTGTGATGTTCCCTTTTTTTGAGAACTGTTTGCACACATATGAAGGTGTATGACACTTCAACTGACACATCAAGTAAAGTAGACAAACAGATGTGCCGATGACAAAGAGAAGAAGATCCGCGGAGACCAGCACCAGCTGCTAAAGAACAGCAGTGTATTATGGGAAAGAAGCATCATAAGAAAATGAAACAAATCCATAAAGTGTTGAAGAAGTACTTCAAAATGAAGACACAATATTTGTGTCATGAGCAGTGGTTAGTGATTACATGGAATCTATTCCGTGTGGAGTTTCTACAAATGCTTTATTGATTCGAGAACTGTACCTATTAATCATAGCAAGTTTGAAAAGAGGAGGGGAGTTAAAGGACATTTTCAGTAGAACCAGGGTAAAAAACAAAGGAACCTCCTCCAGACCTCCTACAGAAAGACGGGTCAGTGCAGCAGGAGTGGGCTCACAACAACAACTCCACCCAGGAAACATCACTGGCCAAGGTCAACAGCAGTGGCTCAAGTACATCAGCAGTTCTCACTCATCATTTGTCTCCTTCACAGTATCCTCTACCGTCACCTCCGCTAATATCTCATCCAGGTGCGTCTGCCCCTGTCAGCACGGCTAAGTACGCTCAAATGTTGGAAAAAAAAGAAAAGAAAGAAAGAAATGAAATACTCCTGGACTGCTACAGATCTCCGGCACTAAACTACTTACATGCTGTGGTTAGATAAAATAGATTTTGTTGGAAACAGATATCGTTTGTGAACGTCAGCCTTGACAATGTAAGGTAAAGCTTTCACTCACTTGACTTTGGTCTTTTAGAAATAACATGTTGGGTGTTTTGTAAATAATAATCCTATTTAGAGAAAACTGGACGACACACAGTCATAATAATGTTGATAATAATAATAATAGCAAATGCAATTTAATTAAAGCATTTACTTTAGGTTTTTAAAGATAGTATGGGGTTGCCTAGACTGTTTTATAGATCTAGAACTTGATGATTGTTTGTTCTGAACTGAAAGGCTACATCCATTTATTATTTACAGTCAATGGGAAAAGTGCAGATGCAACATCAAAAATCATCAATGATGAAGCAGCACATTTCCTCTCCCTCTCCTGCAGATGTTACTATAAACACAATTAGATAGTGTTACAGGACTTAAGTCATCAGTGTCCTCCACATACAGACAGTTTTTAAACTCTGCACGTCTACATTTCACAGATTCTTCACTTGAATTTTGGACCAACTGACTCTACTTAAGAGCAAATCTAAATTCTATAATTAAAATGAATCATTCAAATGTGTTCCACAACCAAAAAAAGACAATGTTTTCATTTTTCATTTTCAAGTTTAAATTGAAGCTATGTTATGTTAAGCTAATTAGCTAGTGGTCACACATTGCTAATTACATTTTGGGCTTTGACAGCAGGTCTACCTCTTAAGGTAAAAACCTTCTCACCAACAGCACTGTTCACCTTTACTTTACTTATTAAAAATACTTAAAATACATTTTAATTCACATATTTCCAGAACACCTGACTCAATGCCACATTTTTAAAAAAAGGGACAACAGTTTCAAAGGAGCCACAGGTTTTTTTTCCTACAAATATGCTTCAAAAATATATATATCCAAATATATCTTCTCGTTCTTACAGCTGTTTCTTTTGGGCTCTGTGGAGGTTTCATTGAAAACTAATCTGTCAAGAGGAGGAGAGTCTGCATCAGGCACAGTGATGTTGGACCCTCCAGAGTCCCAGCACTGCCTGCCCTGACTCTATCTTACTCTGGGAATATGGATAGCTCAGAGAGATTTGTCTTAGTGAGGCACACTGATGGGATCTGTGCAGCGCTGCGCCTCTGATGAGGACTCAGGTGGTGCAGTGTTATTTCTGCTGATGGCTCTGCACTCCATCATCAGGCACACCACCGTATCCGGGGGGAAGAGGAGAAAGACTACAGCACTTGCTGTGCGAACAAAGGGTTAAGGTGGGACAATATGTTTTTTACCTATACCTAATATACAATAGAGGTTTTGGTGTCACTGCCGCGACAAATACAAGCTGGCTTAGAGATTGAAGTTGAATAATCCATGATAACAGTGGTTCTCCATGGATTAGTGACTTTACTGAAACTAAAATATCAGAATTATAAAATGTTTTAATGCTAAGGTTGGAGCACCTAATGTTAATAAATGGAATTGCTGTTTATATTGTTGGGCCAAATTAGCTTTTGGACTGATGGACTATAGTCAACAAGGGTATTTAAAAACAGAATAGAGTGCAGGCAAGTAGAACTAAACAGTACTAGTTCCACGTGCTTCACAACACGTGCAGGCAAGTAGAACTAAACAGTACTTTTTAGTTCCACGTGCTTCACAACAGTGCATTAGTTGTATTGTAGTAGACTGTGGTCCAGTTCCATTTTTTATGTTCTCGTTTTCAACTGATGTTTTTACCTGATGCTCAACAACAGTCAAAGAGCATTCATTCATTTTTTTTTTATTTATTCATCTGTGTGTTGAAGCAACTCCCAGCAGTTATCAGATGAGGACAGGGGACAAACTGAGTTAAACTGAATTTAACCATAATTGATTTAATGGTGGTTGATGGTTGTTGATGTTGTTTTGTTTTGGTTTTTTTTTTTAAATCTGAAAAAAACAATTGAAACAATTCTGACTGCAGTTCTTAGATACGTAGCCACATCCCACAGAATCTCATAAAAAATAAAATCTCTGATCTCTGACAAACACAGCTTGAAAATGTGTTGAGACTTAAATTGTGAATATTGGGAGAAATCTTTTTTTTTAAAGAAGACGATTTTTATTAGTTTTTAAATATGCAAATTGTATTTGCCTTAAAAAGAATGATACAAAAACAACAGACA